GTGTGTGTGTGTATGTGTGTGTGTGTGTATGTGTGTGTGTGTGCATGTGTGTGTGTATGTGTGTGTGTGCGCGTCTGTGTTGCTAACTGGGACTGAGGATCGATCCTAAGGTATTTTGCATGTTAGACAAGTGTCTACCATTGAGCAGTATCCACAGCCATTTTTTTTAAGGCAGGTTCTCAGTACACCAGCTGTCCTTGAATTCACAAGAGATCTGACTTCCTCTAGTTCTGCCTCTGAGCACTGGGATCAGAGTCCTGCAGCACCACTCCCAGCCTCAACTCCCCTGAACGTTTTTTGGAGCCAGGGTCTTGCTCTATAGCTGAGGTGGTGGTTGTTGTTGTTGTTGTTCTTCTTCTTCTTTTTTTTTTTTTTTGGAGTTTTTCAAGACAGGGTTTCTCTGTGTAGCCCTGGCTGTCCTGGACTCACTCTGTAGACCAGGCTGGCCTCAAACTCAGAAATCCGCCTGTTTCTTCCTCCCAAGTGCTGGAATTAAAGCTGTGCGCCACCACTGCCCGGCTGACCAGGTTCTTCTTGAACTTGTGATTACCTTTCCTGGGCCTCAGATAGCTTGGATTGCTTGTGTACTGTTACTTAGTTAGACATCTCTCTCTCGTGCAAGAGTTTTAGGCCAAGCAGCAGGGCCTAGACTGTTGACTTAAAATAATAAACTTGCCTATGTGGTTCCAGCCTGGGTAGATATCCAGGGGCAGGTAACTGCTCACCATCGGGGAAGCGTTTGCAGATTTTGTCTCTACCCCTTCTCCTTAGACCCATTTGGTTTGGTTGGTTGAGCCACATGCTATATGCATTCTGCTTTTTGATTTTCCTGTTTGCTTGGATTTGAAGGTTCTCCAGGACAGTGAACCCTCAGTCTGGGAACCAAAACAGTATTATTATTTTGAGCTTCAGCATCAGCTAAAATTAGTCTATTAAATTTGGCATATATTACACAAAATAATGCACTCCATCTTGTCACATCTTCTTCTTTCCTTCCTTTTTTTTTTTTTTTTTATTTTTATTTGAAACAGTCTCACTATGTAGCCCTGGCTGTCTTGGAACTTACTGTGTAGATCAGGCTGGCCTCAGACTCACAGAAATCCACCTGCCTCTGCCCCCCAAGTACTGGGATTAAAGGCATGCACTGTCTCGTGTTACTTTTATATATGTTAAAGCGTACTAGGTTATACTTCCCCCACTATCCTCTCGTGCCCTCCCCCAACAATGTGATTTTAAATGCTTGGATCACACTTAGAGGATGGAGGTGGGGTGTGGGGGGCGGAGTTGACCAGGCGTCCTCACTGTTACTCTCCTCTGGCAGTGCTCCTGCAGAAAAGATATGGTGAAGATCTCCATGGACGTGTTTGTGAGGCGGTTCCAGCCAGAACGCTACAAACTATGGAAAGCTGGGAAGGACAGCACGGTTATTGACCACACTCTGCCCACACCGGAAGCAGCCGAATTTCTGAAGGACAGCGGACTAACCCTGAGAGCTGGGAATGAGGAGTGCCCGGAGGAGGATGCAGACGCGGCAGAGCAGGGAGAGGAGGGCGATATGAAGAGAAGGTACTGGGCGAGCTGTGGGCTTGGCTCTGGGGAAGGGGTGGGTGTGTGTGTGTGTGTGTGTGTGTGTCACCACAGTTTGAGTGTTTCTACGTTGTTTATACTGCACACAGGCAGGTTTTGGAAACAGCTCTGGAAGCCACAGTGCTGACGACCCAGCAGCTTGCTGTGGTCCCTGGTCAGGAATGAGGATAGTGAGCCTGCTAGCTGTTGTACGCAGAATGTGTTTTCCCCAGTACCACAGAAATAGCTTTGAAAGAAATGTGGTAGGAGCGAGACCTGTTCGGGGAGAATAAGGAGTTGTAACTGGCTTCGTTGGGGTTTGAACCAGAGGATCTATGTATGCTGGGGAGAGACGGGAGGGGCCTGTGTGCCTCGCCTCAGTCCTCATGTCCAAGGTGGGCAGTAGGGTCTGCACTGTTCAGATGATAGAATGGGCTAGGAGGTATTGAGGCAGGCCTGGCCATTTGCTTTGGGTTGTTCATGGCATGTATGGAAGCATTTGGGTGGACGGTGAATGGGTGACTATATGTGCTCTTAGATTTGCTGTCTCCTTGCAGCCTGGCCAAGCACCGAATAGGGACAAAGAGACACCGAGTCTGTCTGGAAATACCACAGGAGGTCAGTCAGAGCGAGCTCTTCCCCAAGGAAGAGCTGAGTTCTGGACAGTATGAGATGACAGAGTGCCAGGCCACCCTCGCTCCAGTGAGGCCCACCCACAGCTCCGTGCGGCAAGTTGAGGACAGCCTTCCCTTCCCAGGTGAGCTGACAGAACTGGTTTGTCCACAGCCCTGACACCTGTCTGAGGCTCAGTGTTGTATTGAGTTGCAGAGTGACTGGTCTGTGGGCACTTTGCTTGGGGACATGTAGGGCATCCGGATACAGAGGAAAAGGCTTGTTCCATTGCTTGATGAGGATTCAGGGAAACACCAAAGACCAAAGGCTTCTGTGAAGATGGTTTCAGTCATATAAGGTAGGTAGGTCCAGCAGGGGCACCTGAGTGAGGAAGAGCCAGAAAAAGCTTGGTGATGGGAATCACTGTCTCTTGGAGCCCTTGGTGATTTCCTCTAAATTTGATGTTGGGTTGGGAAGGATGGATTGTAGACTGTGGCCAGGCTGGATAAGAGGGGCGAGATGGTTGGAGGGATGCTGATGGTTTGTTTGTTTTTTTTTTTTGATTTTTTGATTTTTTGGCGGGGGGGCAGGGGGTGAGGGGGGAGTGTTTCGAGACAGGGTTTCTCTGTGTAGCCCTGGCTGTCCTGGAACTCACTCTGTAGACCAGGCTGGCCTCAAACTCAGAAATCTGCCTGCCTCTGCCTCCCAAGTGCTGGGATTAAAGGCGTGCGCCACCACAGCCCGAGCTGGGATGCTGCTGTTTTATTTTATTATTTATTCTATTTTTTTAAAACTTTATTTATGGGGCCAAGTAATTCCAACATTGGCAAGGCAGGGGCAGGTGAGTCTCTGAGAGTTTGAGGCCAGCCTAGTTTATATACTGAGTTACAGGCCAGCCAGGGCTCCATAGTAAGAATCTGTCTCAAAAATAAATGAATGAATGAGTGAATAGGAAAGAAAAGCAATAGCAAAATTTCTATTTATTATTGTGACTGCTTTGTGTATGCGTGCGCGTGTGCACGCATGTGTGCATCACAGAGAAACCCTTGGTAGAGTATGCTCTTTTACCTTCTTGTAAGTTCCTGGTTTGGACCTAGGTTTGCAAGGCTTGTGCTGTTACCTACTGAGCCATCTCCCTGGCTCTCATCTTATTATTTATTCATCTTTGTTTTTAAATTTTTAGATAGGCTCTGTGTACTCCTGGCTGTCCTAGAACTCTTTTTTTGTAGCCCACAATTTCTGGCTATCATGGCCTCCCAAGGGCTACTAGAGCTGGTATTGAGGCTCGTGCCGTCACTGCTGGCTTACGCTTTGTTTGTTTTTCTTTCTTTTATTTATTTCAATATTTATTTGTTTATTGAGACAGTGTTTCACTGTATATCCTTGACTGTCCTGGAACTAGCTCTGTAGACCAGGCAGGCATCAGACTTACAGAGAGCCTCCTTCTTCTGTCTTCCAGCATATTGGTTTTTTGAAGCAAGGTCTCACTTTGTAGCCCAGGCTAGTTTTGAACTAGGCATCCTCCTGCCTCAGGCTCCTGACTGTTGGGATTATAGACAAGTGCCGCAGACCTTGGTTTGTTTGTTTTTAGTCATTGTCTTGCTCTGTAGCCCTGACTGGCCTTTAACTGGCTATCCTCCTGCCTCTCAAATTCTGGGATTGTAGGCAAATACCACCTTGTCCATCTTAATTAAATATAACTGTCCGTGTTGGAGGAGTGCAGGGTCCGGCTATTGTAGTGTTTGTTTATTTGGAGGCCAGAGGACCTGTGTCGTAGGAGATGTGGTGTTTTGGGAGCAGCTTCTCAGATAAGCACCAAGTCTGGATTTTTTAGAGACAGGCTTGTTTTGGACTTGAAGAAATCTGTTTACTATCCCAATTGTATGTCTGATGATTAGATAGCACTGTGGTCATGCAGTCTGGGGCTCAGCTAGCTCTTAGCAGATTTCTTTAACTGGCAGCTGAGCTTCTGCTACATGAGGGAATGGCAGCAGGCACTTGCTCATAACCTTATCATATATGAGTTATGACAACTTATGCCCAGGACTTTGGGTTTAAGACTCCTGAAAATGAGTGATAGGTTCCTCACATAGCAAGGAGAGGGAGAAATTGGGGGCCCTAGAGGGTGCACAGTTGGTTCTGATCACATGGTGGCCTTGTCAGTGAGGGCCAGTATGTAAAGCGGTTCTCACTTAGAGCCCGTGTTTGTTGTATTTTACCAACCTACCGTCAAGTTTATCCACCTGATTCCATCTGGTACGCACCTGTGTTTCAGATTACTCTGACCCCACTGAAGTCAAATTTGAAGAGCTGAAGAATGTCAAACTAGAAGAGGAGGATGAGGAGGATGAGCCTGAAGCAGCCGCACTGGACCTTTCTGTGAATCCTGCCTCCGTAGGAGGACGCCTCGTCTTCTCGGGTTCCAAAAAGAAATCCTCTTCCAGCCTGGGCTCCAGTTCATCTCAGGATTCAGTTTCTTCAGATTCCGAAACCACCGAGTCTGTCTCTTGCCAGGGCCAAGAGAAAACAGGCGTTCTCACCGTGCACAGCTATGCCAGAGGGGATGGCGAGGCTGCCACAGGAGAGCCGAGTGTGAAGAAGAAGCGCAGCGCCCCCCGCAGCATCAGCGAGCAAGAGCTGGCAGAGGTACAGGCCCTGTGCAGACCTGTGGGAGGCCACTGCCCTGCGAGGCATCCAGTGAAGTAGGGGCCTGTGAGGGTGTGGGAGGGCAGGAGAGGCTCCCTCTGTCTCGTCTTGCATCCACTGCTGCATCTGTTGGGTCAGAATGCCAGGTGATATTTCCTGTCTTTCCAGTTTACTCTTCACTGGCTCTTACCTTTTCTCTGTGTGCCTTTCAGTCCAGAGGCCCACACCTCAGCAGCAGCTCAGGAACTGTGCCATGTAAAACCCAAGCTTGGCCAGATGCTCTGGTGTGATGGGAGCTCTTCTCCTAGAGAAGACAAGAGACAGGAAGGTTTGAATGGTAGTTGTTGCAGCCCAGATGTTTTGAGGTTTGAGATGAGGTGGCAGTCTTAGTCACTGTCCTATTGCTGTGACGAGACAGGGTGACCAAGGCAACTCTTATAAATACTTACAAGAGATACTTACAAACACTTGTAAGAGAAAACATTTAATTGAGGGCTGGCTTACAGTCCTTCACCATCATGGCGGGAAGCGTGGCAGACATGGCTCTGGAGAAGTAGTTGCTACGTCCTGATCTGCAGGCAGAAAGGGAGATAGCTAGGCTTGGCATGGGCTTCTGAAACTACAAAGTGACACATTTCTACCAACAAAGCCACACCCCCAGTCCTTACAAATAGTGGCCCTCCCTGGTGACTGAGCATTCAAATATACGAGCCTCTGGGGAACATTTTTAGTCAAACCACCACAGTGGCCTTTCTCACTCTAATATTCAAGGGGCATTTTCTTTTTAGGATTCTCAGTGCTCTGTGGAATCCTAGCTTGTCATTGGTATACCAGGATGAATTTCCAGAGCTGTGTTTGTTCAGGTTTCCTCATAGTACCCAGTGTCAGCAGAAGCTGATTCATTTTGTACATCCTGGCTCCTGGCAGGTCTGCCATGCTGAGAAGGATGTGAATGGGCTGCAGCTGCTTCACCTCTCCCATGTGACCTTACTCCTGGGTTCACAGGTTGCAGTCAGGGTAGAGTGGACAGGCTAGGCAGGGTGCTGCACACTTGTAACCCCAGCATTTGGGAGGGCGAGGTGGTATTGGGTTCCTGGTCATCCTTGGCTGCGTAATGAGTTTGAGATCAACCTGGGCTATGGTGGACCCTGTCTTAAAACATTGTAAACAGGTGCTAGTGAGCTTGGCCAGTAGGTAAAGGAGCTTACCTACTGGCCTAATGACCTGCATTCCGTTTCTGAACCCACATTGTAGGAGGAGAGATCCAGCCCCCGAAGTTGTTTCTGACCTCCACATGTGCGCTGTGGTGAATGAGCAGCTGAGGGCGCAGACCCCGAGTGTCTACATTCCTTTGCCTGTACTTTGGTGGTTGTTTGAGACAAGAGCTCTCTGTGTGCACCTGGCTGGCCTTGAACTCACAGAGATCTATCTGGCTTTCTTTTTCCCTTCATATTAAGTAACTTGTTTGGTTGGTTATCTTTGAAAAACAGGAATGCTTCGTGAATCCGCTGTCACCCTTGTAGATGGGCCATGTGGACCTTCCCTGTGTGGCCCAGTAGATGTGCTGCTGGCTCTTTTCTCTTTCTCACTCGTCCAGGTTTCCCAAGTGTGGCTTTTCACCCCTATTTAAGCTTCCTTTACCCCTTTATGTTTTAAAAAAATACTTATTTTGAATTATGTGTATGTGTGTGCTCTTTGTGTGGGTTTGTACAACTTCAGCTATGAACTCTCATCTCTAGCAAGCACCTTGGTTGTTTTGTTTTTTCTTTTTGGCTAGAATCTTGCTATGTAATTTTTTTTTTTTCAGGATTTGAGGGGAGAGGGTTGTATGTGTATGTATGTATATGATATGGGTACCTCATACATGACACTTGGGGGTCAGAGGACAACTTTCAGAGTCCACTGTCTACTTCCACCCTATTAGGATAGGGCCTCTTGTTGCTGCTGCTGGAGTGTGCTCCAGACTACGTGGCCTGAGAACTTTGGTTAGTCCTGCCTCCTGGCTTGCCTTAGTGCTGGGGTTACACACATCCACCACCAACCACATCTAATTTTTCATAAGGGTTACAGGGACAGAACTCAAGTCATCAGGTTCGTGTGGCAAGTGTTTTTGCCTATCGGGTCATCTGACTGGCTCTGGATCTTGCTATTTGATATAGCCCAGGCTGGCCTTGAGTATTTCTGCTCCCTGACTCCCGCTTCTACCTCACCCCATCTTTTTGGAACGCAGACAAATCTTGTTATTAAGGTTCTCACTGAGTTGCCTAGGCTGACTTGGAACTCACTGTAGCCTTGGTCTAAAGCTCCTCCAGCCCTGGACTCCCAAGAGCGGGGACTACAGCTTCATTGTATACCTGGCTTCTTATCTTTCTTGGGAATCAGCTCTCCTCTTCAGTTGTGTGGTCTCATGGATCAAACTCACAGGTTGTCCGTCTTGGTGGTGGGTAGTGCCCCTACCCGCTGAGTGGTTTCATGGCTCCCCCTCCACTTGTCCTTAGTACTCAGATAATTCTCTCCACTTCCTCTGAATATCAAGACTCAGTTTCTGTAGACTTCCTCTCTGTATCTCATAGTGGTAGCAGGCTAATGAATTAATAACCTCATGCTTCCTCTGGATGCCATGGCCGCTGGTCTCTGTAACCCTTAGTGCAACACTGACAAGAGAACGCCTTTGGCTTGGAGACCGTCTTAACCCTTGCAGCTGCCTCCTCGTTCTTTCTCACAAGCCCTCAGTGCCAGCCTGCCCTGCTGTGGCACAGCAGTTCACCCTGTCTGTCCTGTGCTTGCAGAATCCTGACTTCCTGCCCCCAGTTGCAGTCATGGTCCAAAGAGTAGCTTGCAAAGATATAACGGATACTAAATATTTTATGAATGTTGTTCAGTCCATTACTGTAAATTAATGTTACTGGAGTTTTTTTGGTGTGATTTTTATTTTTATATTTGGAGAGCCCAATGTGAGCCAATAAATACTAGTCATCTCATTTTCTTCCTATATTTGATATCAGTTAAGTGATGGATAAAAAAAAAAATTGGGCATATGGGCCTAGGTGTCATCTTGTTATCAGTTTTTAACCTGTCGGTAGATGGTCCTACTCTTCTTTTGCTTTCAAATAGATAGATGACCTAGAGACAGGCTGTCCTGGATGTCCATATGCTCCGGGTAGGGCCAAAGCCTTGCCCAAGCTCTCACATGGAGAGGTTGCAGACTAGCATGCACTCTGCAGCAGGCAGATTGCTGCATGCTGAGCATCCATGGCATGGACAGAAGCCAAGACACCTTCGCCATGGTAACCTGCAGGCTGGGGAGGCTTCTCTTCAGATGCCTCATGGTCCTGCTGGAGAGCCCAGTGAGCTTAGTTTCCTTTCCATTTCCTTGTGGATTCTCATTCTCCTCAGTAATTCTTCTCCGTTCTCCGTCAGTATGCACTGGCAGCTTTGAACTACTAAGTTCTCCAAAGAGGTCTTGTGTAATCGGCCTGCTTGCTCTCCTGTGGGGTCGTTAGGGCCTGTGTTCTGTATGCCAGGACTACCTTGCAGGACCTCCTTGAGAGCTGTAAGTATGGACAGAAAGGAGCATACAGTCCCAGCACTGGGTGATGATGGGTAATGGAGCTCCCATTGAAAGAGCTGGCAGCCCAGTCTGGTTGAGCATGGCTGTAGAAAAGGAAACTTTTGGCTCAATCTTGAAGTTTGTTTGGAGGTATACACCAGGTAGATAGAAGGTGACTGGAACAGGGGTCTGAGAGGAGAGACCGCTCTCCTTCATGGTTCCGGTAGCCCACACCAAGGTCAAAGCATGATAGGTCTGCTCAGCGTGCTGTGTTTGGAGACCCTGAGATGCACAAAGATGGAACGTGAGTGCTGTGGGGAGTTTGTGGGTGCCTGTCACGCAGATCCGACCTCAAGCTCTTGTGCCTAATTCTCCATCCAGTTTGTACTACTTTAAACCCAGATGCCTCACAACTTCTTTAATGTTTTCTCTATCTTTTGGGTCTCATGGTGTACCACTGGCTAGCGTGGAACTCACTTTGTGAACAAGGCTGTCCTTGAACATACAGAGATTCACCTGCCTTTGCCTCCCTGGTGCTGAGATAAAAAAGAATGTGCTACCAGACCCAGCTTAGTTTTATTTATTGTGTTCCATGAAAGGAGGAAAAAAGATTTAAAAAAGAAAAAGAAAAGCTCTTGGCCAGGTTTTGGTGGCACAGTCCTCTAGTCCCAGCACTCAGGAGGCAGGAGGGTCTGTGAGTTAGAGGTCAGCCTGGTCTACAGAGCAAGTTCTAGGACAGCCATGGCTATACAGAGAAACCCTGTCTTAAAAACTATTAAAAAAAAAAAAAAAGCCCATTGGGAACTTGTTCCTTTGGTTTGAGGATGGAGCTGGGCCGCATGACATGGGTGAGGGGCAGAAGGAGCACCTGAGTTTCTAGAAGGTAGGAACCCAGGACTGGGAGACAGGATGGCTGACATGTAACACAGCTCAGGCAAATGGGCTATGGCTTCCTGGAGTGGCAAGACTATCATCTGAGGAAAGTAGCTGAAGGCGTGTTAGTGTTTGGTTAGTGAGTTCAGATCAGGGCACACTGAATGTCACCTGCTTGTGAGGTTGTCAGGGGGCATGTACTAGCATGGTGGAGGTAGATGGTGAGGGGGTGGGGACATGCCACGGGATGGATACAGGACACAGAGGATGAGAAGCATCATCGAGAGGTCAGATCCAGTAAAGAGTGGTGTGTTCAGCTCCAAGATAGTGGGAGATGTGGCCAAGTGCGCCGTGAGTCAGAGGGCAGGAGCCTGCGAAGTGGGGGAGATTGCAGCTGATGGGGAAAGACTGATGGATCCAGGGTGTGGCTGAAGTTGGGGATAGAAGCGGGCATCATGGCTCAGGTGGAAGGACTGGGAGGGAATGGCTATACATAGGGCTTTTACTTTGTTTTTTAAATGTAATGAGACATAATGGCAAATTTACCATCTATTTCCAGTGTCCTGTTCAGTAGCTGTTTTTTGAAATGGGAGGAGACATGAGTTGTTTCCAGGGTCTCCTTCCTCAGTGTAACCCAACTCTTATCAGAAGCCATTTCTTTGCATTGAGTTCCATTCTCCTTGAAAACCCAGCAGGTATCAGGCTGGAAAGGAAGAGAAGCACATAGAAGCTAGCCTCTTCATTCAGCGTCCCTTCTTACACTAGGAAGATCCTCCAAGCTTGGCCCACGAGCTTTCCGTACTTGTGGAGTGAGTGAAGGTCAGGCTTGTTTTAGTGAGAAGCCAGCATGGAGGGTGGCTAGATTGTCATGGAGGCTCAACAGCTTTGCCTGTCCCCAAAGATCTGACAGCGCTGTCTGTGTTTGGAAAGCCCAGGGTTCCTGAGAGCACAGTGTCTCAGGTAATCACACTCCGCCCCTGGTGTCTTCTAGCTATAACTGGGCCACTTGCTTTCAGTGTGTATGCTGCTGTCCACATCCAGGCTCTGTCCAGAGCCATCTGGCAGGCTAGCTTTGGTGACAGTGCCCTGCAGAAGTACCAGGAGTGCCATTCCCAGGGGTCAGGAGGCCATGGAGATACATCTGCTGCAGAACTGCTTGTTCAGGCAAGGCTGGGAACAGATGCTTCTGTGCAAGACAGGCCTCATTGGCAACATTGACTTCAACTCTGTGTGCCACATGCTAGAGAGGAGACAAATTTCTGGAACCTGGGGTCCAGCTTTATTGAAGGCAGGGGCTTGGAACATTCTGCACAAGGCTCCCAACCCCTCTTTGGTTCTGTTGCTGTTTGTGCCTTAGAGACTATAGTGGTCCTACTCAAATCATCTGGGATAGTCCCCGTTTTATAGCCTCCTAGTTCTCAGTCTTAGGTCTTCATTGTCACATCAACATAACATGTTCACAGGGTTAGGTCACGGGCATTCTGTCTGCCATGTGTCTTGCTGTCTCCATTTTACTGTCTTATTTCTCTCCGGCTGTAGGCCATGCTTACATGGCCCATCCTGGAGGCCACTCCATCCTCAGACTAATCTAACTTCTCTGGCTCTCCTCATAGATGGGCTGAGGTGTGATTCCTTCCTGCTGCTGCTGTCTGCTGGGATAAGTAGACACTAGGTCTAGACATCCGGGTTGCCATGTGTTTGGGGACCTCTCTGCTTAATGAAGGCTTCTGAGCTTTGTGGGATTCCATACTTCTTTTTGCAGTTCTGGAGAGCCTTCCCAGCCGTGTGGGGATCCTCACTTGTCTCTGGCTGAGTGCTGAGGGACCTTCCATACATACATTGTTCACTTTATGATGCAGAGGGCTAAGCCTCTGGCTATGTTCAGTGGGGTAGTGCTTCTTAACTACACCATGGTGCCCCATTGTACATTACAAAAACACTACTTTGGGCGTACCTTGTAGGCGGGGCCTGTTTGGAAGTTTGGTTGTGTGTCACAGGCAATGCCTACAAAATATCCTCACTTTGCCTCGTTCTGGTATATTCCATGAATCTTTCACTCAGGGAGACTAGATCCTGTCAGTCTGTTGCTTCACACCTCCTTCGTTCCTGAGGAGCCTTTGCACATAGGTGTCCAGTCAACATTTGTTGACTGGAGGGTCTCATGGACTCTGTAACCTGTTGGTACACTTGTATTCGTAGGAACAGGCTCTCTGCCTGAATGTGGCCTGTACAGAACTATTTCCTCTTGAGATCCCAACTGCTGTCTTGAAGCTCTGAGGTGCTTTGTATTCCATGAGTCTAGAAGATCTCTAGAGTGACCCTGTAGTGCCACCACTTTTCTGTAGATCCGAGGCATAAGTATCGAAAAATGGCCGACTTCTAGCCCTCATTTCCTCGCTTTAATGGTTTTGCCAAATCTGTGTCTCGTAATGTCAGTATAAGCAATTTTTAAGTACGTTGATTAAAAAGAAACTTGTGGAGTATTAATCAGCCCTGTACGTCTTAAACCTAATTATGTTTGCTCAGGCATGATGCAAATGCAGTGTTAAACAACCTTCTCGTATCATCTGGGCCAGAGGGCAGACACTGTGTTGGCTGATGCTCTTTCTCAGAGACAAGGAAGCTCACATCACCGAGGGTGCTAGCAGTGGCCACGAGAGCCCAGTCTCGACAGGGTGGAAGGTGGAGTTGGAGCTGGGCTGCTGCCCTTGCAGTGGCTTAGTTGCCACATCCCTTTGTCTGTCTTCTAAGTTCTCAGTGTGGAGGGCCAGCTGCCCAGCATTGTGACAGATGCTGACCTCCAAAGGAAAGGGACACTGTGACTCCTCTGGTGTCCTGATGTACTTCATAAGAGAGTCCCTGCCTTGCTGAGGCAGCTTCTGAGAAGGCCAAGAAGCAAGACATCTGTTTATAATTTTTGCCCTAAGTGCCAAAGTACACTGGTACAGACTAGTGTACATGGCACGATGGCTTATGCTTTTCTGAGACATGTTTTTTAAATTTCTCTAAACTTTTATTTGTACATGAATATTTGGCATCCATATATGCCTGTGCACTTCATGTGTACAGTACCTGAGAAATACAGAATAGGGTGTTGAACTCCCTGGAAACGAAGTTTAAGATGGTTGTGAGCTGCCATGTGGGTGTCAGGAAGAGAACCCAGAACCTCTGGAAGAGCACCTTAACCACTGAGCCATCCCTCCAGCCCTCAAGTTGATTTTTTGTGTGTTCATTTTTACATTTGTTTCCTCTGCTCCTCTTCTCTCCTCAGCTCTCCTGCATCCCTCCCTTCCTCCTGCTTCTGAGACTTTGTACTCCACATGTAGCCCATGCAGCCTTTGACTTCTTTGTCCTCTTAACCTCAGCCTCCTGAGAGGTGCGGCTCTCAGGTGTCTGCAGGGGTGTGTCATCACAGCGCCCTGCAGTTTCATCACCTAGCTGATAGGCCTCCGTTTGCTCAGGTTGCAGATGAGTACATGCTTTCCCTGGAGGAGAATAAGAAGACCAAGGGTCGCCGCCAGCCCCTGAGCAAGCTCCCACGCCACCACCCGCTCGTGTTGCAGGAGTGCGGCAGCGATGACGGTAAGTAGTCTCTCCTCACTGGAAGAAAAGCAGGTCCCTACAGCGAGCCTCCTCCTCACAGGGCCTCAGAGGTCAGGAGTGGGCGTGGGCCTGTGGCTTGGCCCTTTTTCTCCTGGGCATTAGGGCAGAGGACAAATCAGGGCTCCTGGGCTGTGTAATTGTATGTAGGCTCTTTCCTTTCTTTTCCTAGGAGGTACAAGGCTGGATTTTCAGGATAGTAAGTTCCATCAATGATGCCAAGCCCTGTGTTGGATGTTTGCATACAAAACTGTCTAAGATATGTGCATACCCTCAAGGTGCCCACATGATAGTGGGGTGGCTAGCTAAAGGGATGTAAATGTAAAGAAAGGAGTTGGGACAGTATGAGTAAGGACAGGGATGGGGAAGCTGGGGTAGGAGAGCTGCCAGAGCTGCCCGGCAGTGCTACACAGCTCAAGGGCACAACTGCAGCCTGAACTGAGTGAGGCAGAAGGGGGCTGGCTGTACACAGCTCCCCTCGAGAGCCTACTGAGGCTGTCCTCACAGGCAGTTAGGAGCCGTGGAGGTGTGTCTGAAGCAGGGGAGCAACACTGTTAGGTTGCATTAGAAGGACTGCTAGGCCAGCTGGGCTCAGAGGCTGGTGGGGTGGGAGAAATGGAAGTTGTGAAGACGGCGCCAGCCTGATTGGGCAGCAGTCTGTAGAGCTGGGAGCGTAATCCACAGGGAGGAAGGTGAGTGGATGGCTTTGTGTCCTAAGGCTTTTGGCTTCAGAAACCCAAGTTTAGTGTGACTAGAGGAAATTGACATGGGAAGACATTGATATGTAGGATTATTTTTAAATGAAAGGATCTCACTCATCAAGAAGGCCAGGAAGCTTGAGCAGAGGCTGGAGACAGGACAGAGGAGACAGAAGAGGGAGCTAAGAGATCTGTGCAAGGAGAACCAGGAAGTGTGGCTCTGAAGCTCATTTTGGCAACTGCAGGGAGTGGTTATCTCGGCTGCCTGGAGCAGCAGGAGGATGCTGGGAGGCGTCCGCAGGAACTGGCACGAGCATGCTTGTGGAACCTGAGCCACTTGCGCTGCTGTCTCTCCCCTCCTGTGACGTGCTGTCACGGCTCATCTCGCAGTTTTCCTTTATAGAAAGTATGTGACAACCTGGGTGCAGGGACAGCCTACAGGCCCTGGGATCAGAAGTGGCCAGACCCTGAGTCTTTGTCCCAGCAGTCCCTCTGAGCCTGTGCTCGGAGAGCCTCTGCCTCTTGTATGATTTCTTCCCTCAGTGCTTTAAAATGACCCAGGTTAGCCAGGCTGCAGTGACGCACGCCTTTTATCCCTGCACTTGGGAGGCAGAGGCAGGTGGATCTCTGAGTTCCAGGCCAGTTTGGTCTACAGAACAGCCAGTTCTAAGACAGTCAAGGTTACACAGAATAAAAAAAACCCTGTCTCAAAAAGGCAAAAATCAACCAATTAAACAAAAAGACAGACTGTAGGGAAAAAAAAAAGTTTCTAAGAGGCAAAAGAAAAATTATCCAAAGAGTATGTGAATACTGAATACATACACTTCTAGGCACATATCCATTATTGTCTGAGTTATGTCTTTTTGAAATAATGTAACTGATATCCTCTTTCTCTACATTTTGTGATAAGCAGTGTTCAGTTATGGCAAAGTGAAGGGAAACTGTGTGGTCTCCCCATGTGTCACTTGTTATCAGAACTTTTACTATGAGTATGTCTTCTTTCTGCTGGTACATTATTGACACAGGGTATAATATAGCCCAGGCTGGCCTTGAGCTTGTGCTGGCCAGCTGCTCTAGCAGCTTTGGCTTCTCCTGGACACCTGCTGTGTCCTCGGGAGGACCGTGTGATTATCTGGTGTATTCACTGTCCTCTTTTATTTTTTGAGACAGGGTTTCTCTGTGTAGCCTTGGCTGTCCTGAAACTAACTCTGTAGACCAGGCTGGCCTTGAACTCAGAGATCCGAGTGCTTCTGTCTCCTGAGTGCTGGGATTAAAGGGATGCACCACCACTGCACGCTCTCTCTCTCTCTCACTCTCTCTTTCTCTTTCTCTCTCTCCCCTCTCTTTTTAACTTTTTTTAAAAAAGCATTTTTATCTGAATTACAACATTTTCAGTGAGATGCACATGTCTTGACTATAAAGCTCTGTGAAGCTTTACATATGTAAACTGTTAAAATTTTGATTCCTGCAATTTTCACTTAACACAGTGGAAGTCTCCCCTTGGCATTCAGCGCTCCCATATGTCATGGCTTGGGCCGCTTTTGGCTATGTGAGTAGAGCAGATGTCAGTATGTGAAGATGGGGCTATGAGCTTGTCTGTTTCTGTCCCTGCTGCACTATCTTGGTCCCTCATGTTTGGGTCAGGCACTCTGGCTCCAGTCTGAACCATGGGGCTCTTAGAGGCTGTTTGGCTGGTTCACACTGACCTCCTTACGCTACAGTGGCCCTTTATGGGGGCTGGCTGTGCACAATGGCAGCTGCCAGATCCCTTTAACTGAAACCTGACTATGAAGGTGGAGGAAGAAGTGGTTTATCTGCATTGTGCTGGAGTTGCCTGGAGTGAGCAAACGGGCACCTAATATAGGTGTGCCCACCACAGCTGACTGTAGGCTGCTTTGCAGAGATCTCGGAGCCTCTGGGGAAGGAGTGTTTTTATCTTAGCCAGTAGTACTGCAGTGGATTGCAAAATACACGGTACCCTGTGCAGTAGCCTCATGGCAATACCTGATGGGCACACTGTCAAAGCCAATTTCCTGTCAGCCACTGAATGCATGGCCAGAGGGATAGGACAACAGGGGCTTCTCATCTCCACATTCAACTGCAGTTCCTACAGGCTCGAGACACCACGCCTGTGTATTGCAGCAGTCTGTTCTGACGTTTGCTCCTGCTTCTATCAGAGTTCCCAACCCCCCCCCCCCAGCATTCATAATTGTTAAGGCTCTGCCCTGCTCCTTGACCTTGTGTGTGCCAGGAACCAGTGGGCTTTGCGCCTTTACTGCTCTGTTAGAATACTTCCACTGTTTTCTATTCTGTAGTGAGACTCACTCTTCTGGAAGGATAGACCCAGAGGAGGATTCTTCCTTGGTTGAGGTTAAGGGTTCCTGAGTTTTAAGGCCTGCTGCCCGGCACACTGAAGAGAGATGAGGAGTCTACGGCCCAGGGCTCTGAGGAAGGCCAGAAAGTTACTGATTCGGGCTTTACAGTCCTGGATGGTCTCTAGGGTCAGCGTTTCTCTCCCTCACCCCCAGTCTTTGAACATGCAATAGCCATTTTTGTTTCCTGACTGGCTGGAGTATGCCTGCGAGCTCTCCATTCACAAGCTCCTGGTTGAAAGGTGACATAGACATTTTATGGCCAGGAAGAAGTTTCATCTTCTGAGATCCTGGGAAGTCCTGCTTCAAACAGGCAGATTGTTCTCCCCTCATGTCTTGGACTTTCCAGAGAGAGCTGGAAAGTTCTGACCGAAGGTCATGATGTAACATCTTTCAACCTCACCCATCCTCTGTTTGTCTCTCCCTGTTTCCCCAGCACAACTGAAGGGAAAGCCCAGAGGAGAAAGGACTTAACTTGCTGGCATTTTGGAGGCAGCAAACAGCATAGTTTCTGACAGGCTCCTGCTTTATTCTGCTGCCCACAGAGGGCAGAGGGCTGAATGTGGCAGCTGTTACAGGGAACAGAGTGGGATGAGCACCTAAAACCTGAGGAAGAATAGAGACTCTGAGTCAGTCTGACCAGAGAAAGCAGTTCCAACAGCCACTCTAATTCCCCCACGCCCAGCTTACATCCCAGCTAATGCACCCTGGCCTTAAAGGAGCCTGTTGGTAATTGTTTGGCTCTTGCCTTTTATCACTCTCTGGAATCTTGAGTTTAGTCCTGACCTGGGACTGGGGGTGCTGGCTAAGCACCTCTGCACTGTAGGCAGACCTCCCATGTGCAGGCTGGTACTAACTCAGGCTTCTGTTTCCTCCTCTAGAGACTTCTGAACAGCTGACCCCCGAGGAAGAGGCTGAGGAGACAGAGGCTTGGGCCAAGCCTCTGAGCCAGCTGTGGCAGAACCGACCCCCGAACTTTGAGGCCGAAAAGGAATTCAATGAGATCATGGCCCAACAGGCCCCTCACTGTGCTGTGTGTATGATCTTCCAGACCTACCATCAGGTGAGTGTGCAGTGCTGCCATCAGGCACCGTGGGCCAGCAACTGAGGAAGCTGGGTGTAATTATGGGCACGAGGCTTGCCACTGCTTGTCTTTAGGGGCCTTTGCCCTAGCATCCTCGTTCTGTTAGTGCTGGTGTGGCTCTGCCAGGCAGATAGCCCTTAAGAATGCTTTGATCTGGTGACCCTTGTTTATGACACAGACCTCGCTGTTTGCAGAGCATAGTGTTTCTTCTTATCTTCCTGGTCTGGGGTTCTTTCTGCTTGATCCTATGCAGTCCTGGTCAGTTAGGGTACATGAATGCAGTTCTTTCCCATTTGACATCGGCCTTGGGTGAGGAGGCAGGTCTTCTCATGCCATTTTCTTTTTTCCCTCCTCATTGTCATAGTGAATAGTGACCAGAAGGCAGCTGGGGCCCAGGGAGGCGGGAGGGCAGAGACTGACGCAGTGAAGGCTGGGCTCAACCGTGGTCTTCCCATGCCGGGCCACTGATGGCCTCACATTGTGGATCACTTTGGGTCAAGCTCCAGAAGGTCAGACAGGAATTCACAGCAGTAGGCACCGAGTAACCAACTCAGGCTTAGATGTGTCCCACACAGCGTGGTAGTGGGTAAGCAATTTCCCTATGGCGGTTACACTGGCACAGCTGCCCCGAGCTTGGCAAGGCCCCAGGCTCATGCTTGCAGAAGGATGGCATCAAGACCCACATGCTGGAACAACAGCTACTGCTTTGTATTCACTGGAAGCAAAGCAAAGAACTGTTTGTGCTTGTGTTTTATTTAGGGAGGTGACTGCCTGATTGTTACTGTCAGCAGATCTCCTAGGTGGGGGCCAGACTTTCTTGAATGGCATAGGCTCAGAGGGTGACACGCTTCCAGGCTCTGTCCTTGGAATGGGGATCATGGTGCCATCCAGCGGCAGAGCCAGAGGATATTTGTAGTGACTATAGTTTGCTAAGGGCAGTATGAAACATAATGTTCTTTCTAGAGAAGGCCCCAAGCCAGGAATCACAGGTGGGGACCCAGCCATGTGACAGTGCCACAGTTCAGGTGATTTGCTGACGTGGCCCGGCAGAGGCAATCAGTGCTGGTCCATTAGGAGCATGGACTCTGGGTGCTGTCTCCGAGTGGGACTGTCATGTGGCACGGCACCTGGGGGACAGTCAGTGCCTTACTGCTGGTGTCTCGGTGCATTTTATTATCACTTGGTTTGGGAAGACTGAAGTCCCAGGTGCCTCTTCCTTGCTCCCTTTTCTCAGTTGTCCCCCAGGGCCCTTTGTTTGATGCTGCTGTGAGAAATTGAATTTAAGTCATTAGAGGAAACTTCAATTAGTAGCTTCAGGATAATGGCTGTGCACCCGGGAGCTGTAGCTGCAGCCATACCCGTGAGAGGCCCGGCTTTCTGCTGATGGAGCAGGTGGAGGGCTAGGAGCACAGCCCAGCTGTGTGCTCACCGCCCTGTGCCCATTCGTTCTCTGCCGTTCACTTAGGTGGAATTTGGAAGCTTCAGTCAGAGCTGTGGGAATGCTTCAGAACCAGCTGCCCAGACTCAGAGGACTAAACCATTGATCCCTGAAATGTGCTTTACTACAACTGGCTGCAGCACAGACATCAATCTGTCCACCCCTTACCTAGAGGAGGATGGCACCAGCATGCTAGTGTCCTGCAAGAAGTGCAGTGTCCGGGTCCACGCCAGTGAGTACCTCTCACCTGTTCTCATGGGAAACTTCCTGCTTACTGGAAGTTGTTGTCACCGAATGGCTTTCCCAGTCTCCTGCTGCAAAGGATGCTTTTGTCTTCTTGGGAAGTTGGTGGCTGGTGGATGAGTTGCTTTGTGGCTCTAGCATCCATCACAATGCCTGTCAACGTGGGGTCTCCTGGGTTGTGGGTATCTAGAGAATAGTCCCTAGATACTTACTGGGGAGATATACCAGTGAATCCATAGTTTCTGACTTTCCTGGGTCTTGGGCCATACTGTATGGTTGAGCCCTGGGGACTCTGGCCCAGAATTCAGGGATCTCTTACTATCTTTGAGAATGGTGTCTATGGAAGAGTACTGTGCATCTACAATCTAATGCCAGCCCCTGGGTTGGGTTTCATTTGCTCTTCCTGCTGTTCTCATTAGGTTGTTATGGTGTCCCCCCTGCAAAGGCTTCTGAAGAATGGATGTGCTCTCGGTGTTCAGCCAATGCCCTGGAGGAAGTGAGTGTCCCCATGCTTTTTCCATCTCTCCAGAAGATTGGGGTGGCTTTGGAGCTAGCCTCTTTCTATGCTGGACGTAATTTATGCCCACAGCAGCTGGCTTAGGATTTGGTACTCTGGGATGTCAGAGCAGGTGGATCTGAGAGCTGTCTTTGTGCTGTGGTGGCAGATCAGGTAGCCGTCTGGTGGAGTGGCCATCACTCCCTTTGAAGAGTTCAGCTCTGGGTTTGGAGTCTCAGAGTGGGGCTCAAGTGATTCATTATGTAGTTCTAATCATGCATTGTGGCCTGTCTCTTCAGGGGAGTCCTGACTACAGGGCATATACCTGAAGGCCCACCTGCTACTGCTTTCTGGCAGAGTTTAGTTGTCCACAGGAAGTCTCAGGAGGGCAGACTGTATGTAGTGAATTGTTGGTAACTGTTTTCCTTCTGCTTTCCGGGCAGGACTGCTGTTTATGCTCATTGCGTGGAGGGGCCCTGCAGAGAGCAAACGATGACAGGTGAGTTCTCTGGGAAGATGGTGATGCCCAGGCCCCCGTTCTGAAGCATATGTATTGCTTTGAGGGCAGTAGCTGTTCTGAGGGAGTGGGGAAGACTCAGGTAGCACATGGTACGGGCTGGAATAGGATGAGCAAGACTGCCCTAGACTGCCTGCCTCGATTTGACTTTTCCTCAGAGGCAGAGATGTAAGTAGTGTCATTCTTTGAGAGAGGATGGCCCTGAGGAAATGACACAGGCATTTTGCGATCTGGAAGTGAGGACATTGACCTGGTTGCAGTTACCTGCCTGCTTTCCTTTTTTTAAAAAATGAATTTATTTTACATATGTGGATGTTTTACCTGCATTGTATATCTGGGCATTGTTTGCACAGGTTTCCATAGAGACCAGATGAAGACTTTGGATCTCTTGGGACTAGAGGAGATCCAAATGGTTTTAAGGCACTATGTGGGCCTTGAACCCAGCCAGGTGCCCTGGCAGAGCAGCTAATGCTCTTAACCTCTTGAATTAGCTCTCTGGTCTTGTTTCTTTCAAGACAGGCTCTCCTGAAATGTCCTGTTAATCCTCCTGCCTCAGCCTCCACAGACTGGGATTACAGATACGTACCATGCCAAACTCTTCACAGAGTTAACTCTCCCTGGCTAGACTTGCTGTTTGGAGATCAGGCAAATGTCTCCAAGGGGGACCTGTTGGGCACTGAGGAGAGCTTAGGCAGGCCACCCACTGTTAGATCTATAGAAGTTTCTGGGTTTCTCAGCTGCTATACAACATGTTCTCATTGAGTTGTATCTTGTGCTGCCTCGGGTCTACCTTTTCTGAGGAGGAAACACAAGCTGTTGAGGGTTTGCTCTAGAAGGGCTTCTGTGTAGAGTTGTACACATGGATTGACAGCAGCTGGCTGTGGATAGCCTGCCCCTGAATAAAACCCCACGGTGTCCAGCCTCCCACCCTTGCAGCATCCCCATACTACTTGTGGTGGATGGCTGTGTGGCTGTGCCTCACTCCTTTACAGATACGTGGCTATTACCAGTGGTCACTGTAATTCTCCCAGGGCAGGTAAGGGCTGGCTGGTAATACTTTTATTTAACTGGAAATGGCTGTGCTTGAAACTCTCACCTTTGCCCTTTAACCTCTGATGCATGTTCTGCCCTCTAAGGCCAGACCTATTCCCATCCCCAGTAACAGCCCTACTAGTGCAGACTTTCGATTCCATGGCTCCTGTAGGTTTTCATATGAGTGGACCTAGTTGGAGCTGAACCCAGGGCCTTGTGCATTTGATGCAAACTGTCAGTGGAACCCCAACATTCCACAATCTTGGGTTTCTCCACTTCGGGCATGTCTGTTTCCCAAAAGGTGTCTGGGACCGAAAAGCCCCAAGCAGTGCTTCTGATTTATTCCCTTTCTGAACCCACCACACTCTGTCAGCCACGATTCTGCTTATTTGTCAGAGAAGGCGGTGGTGTAAGTGGGTTGATCCTGCACTGGCCTTGGGCAGTGTGTGCGCAGTACTACATATGGTGGTAAACAGCACTTTCCCTCTTAAGTCCTGGGACCTGGGTGACCCAGTGCTCATGCTGGGTGATGGAGGTTTTGTCAGCAGGCCCCTGGGGCTATAGAAGCAGGTGACTGAGGCCTTCCTCTTTTGGCAGATGGGTTCATGTTTCATGTGCTGTGGCAATTCTAGAAGCAAGGTTTGTCAACATTGCTGAAAGAAGTCCAGTGGATGTGAGCAAAATCCCTCTGCCCCGCTTCAAACTGGTAAGCCAGAGTGGGCTTGGGGTTTGCATGGCTCCCAACTGATGAGTCTGGGGAGCTGAGTGCATTTTGGCTCTGGTCAGTCTCGTTCTACCCTACAGCAGTGTTGCCTCCTGGGTACTTTACATGGGGCACAGGGGTAGAGCAGTCCCTGGGCGCTCCCATGTATTGGAAGGAGGTTGGCTTCTGATGGCTTGCTTTTGTGCATATTGGAGGGGAAACAAGAAGAGATGGACGGCCATTCCATGGAATCGTGTGCTGTCTCTCTCTCCTGTGCAGAGGTGTGTATTTTGTAAGAAGCGGAGGAAACGGAACGCTGGCTGTTGTGTGCAGTGCTCTCACGGCCGCTGCCCCACCGCCTTCCATGTGAGCTGTGCCCAGGCTGCTGGGGTGATGATGCAACCCGATGACTGGCCTTTTGTTGTCTTCATCACGTGCTTCCGACACAAGATTCCCAATCTGGAGGTGAGAGGGCACCATGATGAGTCCTCCTGACTGGTTTCAGGGTCATTTTCTCTGCATGTTGCCAAGTTGTTCCTTGTTGGAAATGTTAATGAGTTAGCACTTAACACATGGCTCAGTCTGACCACTTCTTACCTTGGCCTTCCTAGTTCAGTGGTACTAAACTAACCATGGCTTGGTTCTTTAGTTTACCTGTTTCCTTGCTTAACTCTCCCGAGCATCCTCACCCAAGGGCCTGGGACGTCAGAGCCACTCTGAAAGTGTTGAGGCTGGTACCTCTGACAGTTGGACATTTTCTACCACATAGGAGAGATTTCACAGTTCTCTCAGTGGTGACATGTGCAAGACATGTGAGAAATGACCTGTAGAGTCCTGAAGGGGCCTGGGCGGGCCCAAGGAAGGAGAAGGGAGTTGGAGTGTAATCATAGCTTCAGAAACAGAGGACTATGTCTTAAGAGGACGAACATTCAGGGTGGTTCTGGGAATCTGGCAGGAGTCATAGGAAGCGAGCAGCGCCCAAGGGAGAAGGCCCTGGACCGCCACGTTTAGGTTTCCTCCTTTCTGAATGAGGATAACTTCTGGAAGGTCATGATTTTGAGTTGTTTGTGTGCAGCTGTGCACATACATATAGGAAGCAGAACAGCTTTTGGGAGTCAGTTCTCTCGTTCTGCTCTGTTGATGTAGGGTTTCTCGCATCTGCTGCACCGTGTACCCCACCCAGGCTAGCTGGCTACTTAGCTTCCAGGTGATTCTCCAGGTGACACCTCTCACCTTGAAACAGGCATGCTGTGATTTCACTGTGCCTGTCACAGTGACCTGCTTTTGTTTTGTTTTGATTTGTTTTTTTGAGACAGGGTCTCTAGAGTCCTGGCTTTCTTAGAACTCACTATGCAGACCACAAAGGCCTCTAACTCACAGAGATCTGCCTGCCTCTACCTCCAAAGTTCAGGGATTAAAGGTGTGCTCCTCAACACTTGGCTGGTGTTTTAAATGTGAGTTCCTAGGACTGACCTCAGACCTTCAGGCTTAGGCCATAAGTACTCTTCCATGCTGAGCCACCTCCCTGGACCCTGAGGAGTTGCTCTGAGCAACCACTAGGCAGCTTGGAGTGATGGTGAGAGCAGAGCTTGGGATGGTTTCGGCAGGATAGTTCATCACAGTCTTCACTGGAAGATGAGCTGTGGCGATCTCACACACAAGCTCTCAGCAGTGAGGCGAGGCGAGTCTAGAGAGAACTCAGGACAGGGCCAGGCCAGAGCAGAGAGCTCTCCATGTTGCCGTTTGGGATCACAGAGAAGTCATCTGGTAGAGTTGGCCTTTCTTTTGGCAGGGCAGATGGTTTTGTCCTGGGTTTCACTCTGGAAGGTCATGAGTTTGAGTCTGGGAGCCCTTCATGCTTCCAGCTCTCTGTGCAATCAGCTCTAACCTCAAGCCTGAGGCAATTGTCCCCTGTGTGTGGTTACTGAGATAGCAGGTGGGCTCCTTCGTGCTTCCTCATGAAGGTGTGGAGGAGACCTCGGGACAGGCTGTACTGGAGGCAAAGCCTGAGACCCCGTTTGGTAGCTGGGAAACCTGAGTTTGGTCATGGAACAAGATGGCAGACTTAATATAATTATAATCATGATTATCTTCAGTATTATACTTGCAGACTGCTGGGACCATGAGGGGATTCACAGTTAGTATTTCTTTGTAATTCATTCTTCAAATGTTACTTAAACACCTGCCACATCCCAGGGTTAGCTAGAAATTTACCAGTGCACAAGACAGCCACCCCCTCACGTAGTGTCATGAGGTACTTATAGTGGAGTTGAAGGATCCACAGGGAACTAGTAAGTACACATGTCTGAGCATGAATGGTGCAGTGGTAAAATCAGTACAGGTCAGAGATGAGGAGGAAGAGTAGCTTGTGAGGAATGGGATCAGTGACATCGTCTTTCAGGAACAAGGGACCCAGGGTGCGGGCAAGTGTGTAGTGAAGCATCTTGGGTAGAGAGAATAGCCATGCAAAGGCCCTGAGGTAGGAACATGAGTAGCACGTGTGTTCAGAGAATAGTGAAGAAACGTGTACAGCAGTGTCTGGGTAGGGTTTGGGGAGTGGCTGGAGTTGAGCCATCACATCCAGGACAGGGTCAGAATGAAAAGCATTTGTGAGATGGGGTAACAGCAATGGCAAGGCCCTGTGAGGTAGGGTACCAGCAGTGCAAGGCCCTGTGAAGTAGGGTACCCTCAGTGCAAGGCCGTTAATGAGACAGTTTGTTTGGAGCAGAGGATCTTAGGAAACCTCAATTTTTGTGCCTTTCTCCTGAGAGTAGAGCTAATGCCGAGGTAGTTATTGGGTAGTGATGTTCAGAGTTTAGGGTCCAGGGCACCAGCTACCTATTGAGTCTCTGTCCAGATGTTATGTCACATACCTGAGGTGTGCACACATTAGAATGTATTATTTGGTTAGTGTCAGGGAAATCATGAAGGGTGAGTTCATGGAGTTTTAGATAAGATATACCATGACTGAGGTAGGACATTGCTGCAAAGTTCATAACAAAACAAAATAATCAAAGAAAAAAGTAGTATCCTGTAAGAACTAGTTGGCTTGGAGCTCAGAGCTCAGGCGAGTGGTTTATAGAGGACACATAGCCCTGACTAGAATGTAGGTGTCTGGAAAGGCCTGTTCTGCCTTTCATTTGTCTCGGTCTTTCTTTTTCCACATTTATTTCCCCCCCATACCCTATAGAGGGGCTTATTAGAACTGTCAGTGTGATCCAGGTTAACCCAGGCTTGTTCCTTCTAGCGTGCTAAAGGAGCCCTGCTGAGCATCACGGCCGGCCAGAAGGTCATTAGCAAGCATAAGAATGGTCGCTTCTACCAGTGCGAAGTGGTCAGACTCACCACCGAGACCTTCTACGAAGTCAACTTTGATGACGGCTCCTTCAGCGACAACCTTTATCCTGAGGACATAGTGGTAATGTCTGGAAGTGGCTTCTGGGAGCACTTTGGGACTGGGGCATCTTCTCGGTATTGCTAGCTGGATGACTGTGGCCTCTTTGCCTGCCCCTTGTCAGTTTCCAGACAGAAAGAAGCCTTTATTCCCAGGTTCCCTTTCAAGGAACAGTGTACCTGCTGAGGTACTCGCCTTCCCCAAGAAGTTCAGGGGAGTCAGTGTTTCCTGTAGTTTATTGGAATATGCTTATATCTCAGGCCAAATTATTCCTTATAGCATCTAGTTCAAGATGCAAGCTCACATACTCTGGAAGGAAACTGGTGTTGTTACAGTTTCATTGCATTTATGCTGTGTGATTCTTTAAAAGAATGATCTAACCCTTGTTTCTGCCATGCCTTTTTGGGATGTATATGTAGCTTGCTTTGGGCTCATCACAGGTGAGGGCTTTGGAGCTACAGAGAAACTACCCGAAAAAGCTTTATCAACCCCTGAAACCCTAGAGCCCTACCTGGACCTGCGTCCGGCTTTCCTGGCTCACTATTCAGAACTTAGCTCAGGTTCCCCAGCCTGTGCCCTTCCTTTTCATGTGCTAGCCTGTGTGCCCAACATAGAAGGGCAAAGCCATTTCTTCCTTAATGATTCTTCACGCATTCACACTACATTAGCAACATCACTATCAAAAGCACATTAATTAGCGTCTTAGTTAATCTCTGTTGCTCTGTCAAAACAGTATGACCATGGCAACTTATAAAAGAAAGCACTTAATTTGGGGCTTATGGTTTCAGAGTCCATGGTGCAAAGGCATGGCAGCAGGAACAGCTGAGAGCTCACATCTTGATCTGCAAGTAGGGCATAGGGGGGTGGGGAGGCATGACCACACAGGTACATGTACACACACACACACACACACACACACACACACGGACATAGGGGATGGGGTGGGCATGACCACACAGGTACATGTACACACACACACACACACACACACACACACACACACACAGAGTTAAGAGTTTTTGACCTCTCAGAGCCCTCCCAGAGTGACACCTTCTCCATCAAGGCTGTATCTCCTAATCCTTCCCCACGCAGTTCCACCTAGTAAGGACCAAGGAGCCAGGGGGTGGGGGGTGTGGGCATCCTCCTTCAAACCACCATAGTTACAAGGCAGAGTGTTACTGTGAAGATGAGGATGTTTGTGTAGCACGGTCAGGGACTAGTAAGCTCTCACCCAGACCTGGTGCTGAGCTGGAGGTCAGTATGTCTCTCTCCTCACACACGCTCTGAGAAGTGTTGCTTGCTCTAACTCAGGACAGTGCTCCTGTCTGAGCGCCTTTGGTTCCTAAGAGATTTTTAGGCTCTCAAACAGCTATGTATTTGTGAATTTTACCTATCAATAGTTACTCTATTAGAAATTAAAACTAAGATTAGTTAATATTTTTAAAATATTATTTGATACGTGTGTGTGTCTCTCTCTGTGTGTGCGCTATCTTATCATATTTCTCCAGTTTTACGAAATTTTTAGGTCAGTTCTTCATTCATATTGTTTCAATTAATGTACTTGCCTATGAACCCAGCTCATAAGACACTAAGGCCAGGGGCTCTAGAGTTCAAATCTGGTCCTGACTACACAGTGAGCCTATGTCAAAGACAAAAAAAAGGAAATAAAGTGTAGAAAGAAAACGTAGCCTGACATCGAATTGCAGTTGGAATGGGGGTTATATTTTATTTTTTGAGGCAGTGCCTCACTGTGTAGTCCTGACTGCCTGAAATTCACAGGAAACTCCCCCCCCGGCCCAAGTCACTGGTCCCCTGAGAACAACATTTTAGTAGCATTTCCAAGAGTTGAAATGAAATGATTTCTTTTTGGAACTGGGCATTGAACTTGGGCCTTAGCTGCGTCTGTAGAGCTGCTCCCCCCCACCCGGTCCTTTCACGTTTTTAAGATATGAAGTAGGATCTATCTATAGCTGAGGCAGGCCTTGAACTCCTGATCTTCTGCCTCCTGACTGGTTGAGATTATAGTCCTATGTTACTGATCTTGTCACTGGGGCAATTTGATCTCTTAGCTTTTTGGGACAAGTCCTCATGTAGTCAGGAAGGCCTTGGACTCCTGCATGCTGGCAGCAACAGTGTGTGCCACTGTGCCTAGCCAAGTAGCAGGTTTTTAAAAAGTTATACACAATGTGAAATCTGAAAGTCCATTGAACCTTACATGAGACATACGTGAAGTCTGCCCACCCATCTCACACTCAGGGTGGGTCTTGTGCCTGATTTGTTATACTGTATGCTGGTCATTCAGAAAACACTGCCATACTGGGCTGTGGAGATCTTTCCAAATGATGTTAAATTTTATTATAAATACACTTTTAAAAATCAAATTCACATCATTACCCATCTCGCTGGAAGACTAAATTCTGAGAAGGGCTGAGATGCCTTAGTGGGTAAAGGTATTTGTTGCTAAGCCGGAAGACCTGAGTCCAAACTGCATGTCCCACGTTAGAGAGAGATAGATACTCAGCTCCTGCATCCTGCAAGTCGCCCTCTGCCCTCCACATGTGTACTGTGGCACATAGACACACGTGCATTCTGGCACATGTACACACGTGTACTGTGACACATGCACACATACATCATAAAGACATAGTTTAATTCTGAGAAGCTTTGTGTTCACAGGTAAGAGGGCCACTTTTCTGAAATACTAATTTTTGCTCAAAAAGTTGAATTTTTTGTTATTGGCAATAGATATAATTCCTTTTTCCTTGAAGTGAGATGCTCTCTTCACTTGCTTTTAGGAAGGTGTCTGCCAAGTACACCTGTGCCAGTAACTGGAGTTTTATCACTCATTCTTTCCCTCAAATAAAGCTGGTACTCTGTAGCCCTGGTTGGGCTCGAACTCCAAGATCCCTAGTGCTGGGATTAAAGATGTATGCTACCATGCCAAATCCAAAGCTGGAATTCTTTTTTTAAAAAAAGATTATGTAGTCACACAATTGCAAAGGTCACAAGTGATTCTTTCCATCTACTGGAGCTGGGGATTGAATCCAGGGTCTTAAGAGACCTACCACCGAACTACACTCCTAGCTTAGACACAAGTTTTCCTGTACACATCGTAGTACCTGTAGCCTCAAGTGTCTTACAGATACTCACATACATAATACAGCAAGGCAAATCCCTCTTGCTTCATTACTGCTCTGTGAAACCTAGCTTTTTACCCCCTTACACTTTGCATCCACAGTAGTAATGAACTCAGTAGAAACTGGGAAAGTTTGTGGTCTTTGATTTGCATACATGACCTATTTTTTATGCCATCATAGATTTTGCCAGAAATATCAACACGGTGAAAGGGCTAGTGGTTTGTGTTTTGTTCTTATTTTTTGTGGATTTGGGCACCACGGCCAGAGCTCCATCTCCAGGCATGGCTTTAGTGTGTTTCACAGCAGGCCACACTGCTTAGCCAAGCTGAACTTCACCTGGCTCCTCTGCCGGTCTCCTGGCAGCCTCCACTCTCAGCTAGATGGTCCCTTTCTTTCTTAACATGTCCGTCTATCTTAGAAGCACGTCTTAGAATGCACTCAAATGCAGTCCTAGCATTCCTCCGTGGCAGAGCCCAGGGATGCTTCAGCAAGCAGCTCAGTTGAGAGGACACAGGGATTGTGGATTTGAGAACCCACCCTGCTTCTGTGTTACTACATTATCTGAGTTAGTATACCCATCTGGGGGTTTTGTTTTGTTTGTTTGTTTCTTTGTTCACCTAGAGGCCGCTGGGACTAGGGCAGATAGAAAGAGGAAGACCTTGTTTGACTGACTGCAGCCTTCAGCCCAGAGCTAGCTGCCTTTCTTGCGGCACGTGGGCAGGAGTCCTTCCCGAGTCACACTTAATGCTGTGGTTGGGTGGAGCTGCTCTTTACTCTCCTTCTCTGCTCTTTCCTCAGAGTCAGGACTGTCTCCAACTCGGGCCTCCTGCTGAAGGCGAAGTGGTTCAAGTCAGATGGACAGATGGTCAAGTCTATGGGGCTAAGTTTGTGGCCTCCCACCCCATCCAGATGTACCAGGTAGCCAAAGGTTCTTGAATGAGCGTTTGAGGGTGGGAGGGTACTTCATTCCTTTAGTGTTTCCTCTTGGGCAAGAAGCTTGTCTTTGCTCTTTAAAGAACTTGGCCGTCACGTACAGCCTTCACAGATCTGGAGCCCTGGGGTGTCCACTATGCTATTGTGCCTTCAGGCATGGCCGTCAATCCTTACACATAAAGTCCTTACACATAAAGTGTTACCTTCCTTTAGCTACCTGAAACTGCCACTGTGTGTGCAGGTCCTGCAGGACTCTGGTACTCTAGCTAAAGGGCCTTTGCTTGCTTGGCAGGTGGAGTTTGAGGATGGCTCGCAGCTGGTGGTTAAGAGAGATGATGTGTACACACTGGATGAAGAGCTTCCCAAGAGAGTCAAGTCTAGACTGGTGAGTGAGCTTTCTGTGCCCTAAGCCTGTGTGTCTTGAACGTGGCAGGAACATGCCCCTTCGGTGTTTATTGTTCCATGTGGCCACAAAGTGACGATCTGCTTGCCTTTTCCTTTGTAGTCAGTAGCTTCAGACATGCGGTTCAATGAGATTTTCACGGAGAAGGAAGTAAAGCAAGAAAAGAAAAGGCAACGGGTCATCAACTCGAGGTACCGGGAGGATTACATCGAGCCAGCACTGTACCGGGCCATCATGGAGTAGATATTTCCAGGATCTAAGAGGTTCCCAGCCATCAAGGCGAGAGCACTCTAGGGTTCCACAGCACAGCAGACACTTGGAACTCAGAAGTCTTAGAACTTGAAGCCGTACAAAGAAAAGGAATGACATGTCCGACCCATCACCTTCTCACTTCACCCTCGATGCTTTCTGCCATGAAAAGACAAACCAGTTGTGGGCGCTTGGCAGCAGCTGCTCGTCCCCAGCTGATGGGCTGATACTGGGATGCTGAGACTGCATCAGCCCCCAGTCCAAACGGGTCAGCTGTTCCTGCTGGGATTGCTCTTTCTTAGCCTAGGACTTGCTTCCTACCGCCCACCTGCACCAGCAAGGCAGAGAGGTGCTGGTGCTTGACCCAATCAATCCCCTTTTGTATTTATGTACGTGTGTGAGCGTGCACATGTACAAGTGTGTACCTGTGTGTGAGCGTGTGAATGTGCGAGTGTGAGTGTACACCTGTGTGTTTGTGTGCTTGAGAATGTGTGAATGGGTGTGCAAGTGTGTGTGTGTGTGTGTGTGTGTGTGTACTTGGGCAGGACTAGCTTCTGCCAGCCCCTGGGCTTCACTTTCTTCTTTGCCTCTGCAGGGCAAACAAAATGTGAAATTCTGCCCTCAGCCAAGCTGAGTAAGGGCCCTGGGGGATGGCTAGAGGTGGCTTGCCATCTGTTCCTTCCTGGTCCCACTTCAAGAGAGTGCTGGCAAAGCTACAGTATTGAGATGCTAAGGAGCTGGCTGCCACCTCTGTCCACCCTTGAAGTAGAACTCAGAGGTTATGTGCTATGAGCCCACAGACTTCAGGCACTGAAGCCCCTACGGCAGTGTTAGAGGGTGTGGGTGGGGACTACCTTGAAGGGAGAATTTTAATGATGGAAACAGGCAGAGCCTGGTGGGTGATTTTTGTGCAGGGGAAAATTGCAGTTATGCAGGGGCTATCTATGGGTTAGGATGAACTGGGGCCACTGGAGGCCAAGGGCAGTGTAGCTACGCCCTTGGTCAGGGGTGGGGTGGGGCTGGTTGAGGGTGGGGGTGGGGTGGGACTAGAGGGCAACATTGAAGGGGTTAAACAGGTTTTTGCTCCTCTTGAATTTGTTTGCCTGGGCCCAGATATTGGAGGGCTTCATACCTTGCTCTGTATACAGGAGTCAGATTTATAATACTTCCCCTTTTTTGTTACGTATGAACTCTATAAACCAAATTATTTTGAAAACTGGTGCATTACCTTGTCCTTAGCAATAAAATGCATTGAACAGAGGATTGACTGTGGTCTGCCCCATGGAGCCCAAGTGGCCCAGGGTCAGGCTGTGGAGCGGGGCCTGGGAAAGCATTCACCGAGATGGGTGCCGACCTTCTGTGTTGGGCCAAATCTGTGGCCCATGAGCACCCAAGGCATTGTGGCTCTCAGTTCCTCCTTCTGCTTTTCCTGGAGGAGGTAAAACAGGAGAGAGGATTGGGCTGTAGTCTTCGCAAACAAGCCCTTTTGATGTCATCAGCATCCTTGTATGCAAATCACTTCCTGCATCAGAATTCCATTCTTGGGAACCAGGAAGGAGTATGCTTTAGGTGCTTGAAAAGCAAGAGACACCTTATCTTCCGTGGATTGCAGAAACTACTCTCTGCAATGCCTGTAGTTGGTGAGTGCTTCTCTGGAGGAAGACCCAGTCTTTGTCCGGGGTCCCCAAGTGGACAAGAATAGGTGAGCTTCTGCACAGCATACCTACTCCGGCTGGCCTCAGCTTTGTGCCCTGTGCTAGACAAAGTGCTTGGCACCCCTGCAGCCTGGGAGCTGCTACTTAGTGTTGGTTGTGGGAAAAGAGGAGAGTTTCAAAGATGTTTTTTCAAAACTAACTTCTTGGAGCCAAGGAAAGGAGGTTTCCCCTCTGGTCTTCACTCAGGGATTTTCAGGGAGAAATACCTGGGGAAGTTAAGTAGGGCTGAACTTTCTTGGAAGGGAGGAAAACTTAATTTCCTCGGGTACCCGTGGTTCCTCCCCATGATTCTCATTACCTCAGCCTTGCTGAAGGACCTGATAATCTTGGGCCTGGTGTAATCTCAGCTCTGTGGGAATTGAGGATCGAATTTAAACCTTTGAATGTTTCAGGCAAACACTCTGCTGCCAAGCTATATCCACCGACAGCCCTCTCTACTTTTTCTGTCCCTAAAGATGGGCCCACTGTGGGGTGGAGAGATGGTTTCCATTAAGAGCACTTGTTTTTACAGGGAACCCAGGTTCAGTTGCCACTAGCCACTTGGTGGTGGCTTGCAACTACCTGTAACTCCAGTTCCAGGGGCTATGAGGCCGCTTTCTGGCATACACAGGCACCGGGACAGGCACTCATGCAGACACTAAAACAAAATAAGAAACCCCCAAAACTAAAGAAGACATCAGGAACCACAAAGTTGTCTAGGTTGGCACTGAAAGTTTAATCCTGCTTCAGATTACAGAGCAGTTAAGTACACACCACCACCACCACGGTGATTAGCTAAGTCAATCATTCAAAAACATTTTTGGCCTATGTAATTATAAGAAAATTCCCAGTTCAAAAAAAAAAAAGCTATGGGACTTTCCCAAGTCTCACAAAACTGGCCTGTGGTTTTTGTTCTGGTGTTGGGGATGGCCTGGGGCTTTGAGCTTGCTAAACTTCAAACTTGGCTCTGCCTTAGGCACTTCCTGGCCAGTGTAGTCTAGTCTGAGCTCATGACCTACCACAGCCAAAGACTGCACTTCACAGCAGCATTTTGTCAAATTTATGTCTTGTTTATGTTGTATATGGTGCAGTGTTTGGATTGGCATCTGAGAGTGGCAAGTTATGTCTCCACCGCCTCTTTGGGTAAATTCTGCATTAAATATTGCCTTAGGATAATGCACTCGGCTGCAGGATGAGGGTGCGACCTCCTGAACTGCTGAGTATATGGTGTGGCTTTGTGGCCCATCTGCGACCTTTTTACGAGGTTACGCAGAACTTATCTGGCCTCTTACCCTCACAGGATTGGACAGGACTTCAGGAGGCGTTCGGGGGGGTACTACCAGCGGCCGTGTCTGACAGCAGAGCGGTGGGTTGGAGACAGGAGACTTCCTCTAGGAACCAGAGGAGACCTAACCGCAGCCGGGCCGTCCCACTCACGGCTTCTCCACGCGGCGTTCCTCCCAAGCTCCAACTACAGCGGGGAGATGGGGAGGGGGGTGGATTCGGCCTCCAGCTTCCATTGGGTCTCCGGGGTCCGGTCCCGCCCACCCTTGCGGCGAAGCCTCGCATTGGCCTGCCCGGCGCCCCGCCCGGTTCCGGTGCGCCTATTGGCTGCCGATGCCCGACCCCCGGCGCGGCCGCCGAGGCGGACCGCAGGATTGGTGGTCCCGCCGCTGCGTCCCCACCATGGCGGCGCCCGTGCAGCCTGCCGCGTCCTGGGCTCCCTCTGGGGTCCCCTCGGCTGTCCCCGCTATTCGCGCTGCAATTGCCTCCGCGCTCTGCGTGCGCCCTGGCGCCACCCGCCCCCGGCCTCCCTCTCCGCTGCGGTAAGGCCTGCCCTGCGTCCCCGTCGCAGTTCTCGGCCGCCGCGCCCCTCCCCCTGCCAGACCGGCCCGAGCCGCGCCGGGGACCAAAACCTGGGCCCGGGTGGGGGCCAGGCCTGCGAAGGGCCTTGCAAGCCGGGCGGAGCGCGCCGAGGTCACCTGTGTGCAGTGCCCCAGGGCGCGCGAATCTGGGCGCAGAGGAGGGTCACGGTCACCCGGGACCCTCTTGTGGGACGAGCGCAAGAAAGTCCGGGGAAAGCCTAGCGGGAGTCACCAAGAGTAGCGGTTGTCACCTCTGCCTTCCCCGGGGCCAGATCCTCCTCGGAGCGACCGGGTCAGTTTGTCAAAGTACGTCTTCTCGCTACCTTTTCTTCTGGAGTGTTTCCCCATTGTCTTCTCAGTGGTCTTGTTTGCGAGAGAAAAGCTTACTGAGGACGGCAGATTTGGTTAGGAGGATGTCCCACAGATGTGTTTAGACTCCTTTTTACAATAGCACCCATTTTTATGATTCCTCAATAAATCTCATTTTCGTTTGTTTCTGTTGAGTACGGGGAGGTGGTAAAACTGAGTCACTGTAATTAACCTAGGGAGTGACTGATGAAGGGAGACAGCTGTTATCCCAGAAAGCAAAGAGTACTTAACACATTTCTGTGAGGTTCTTTGAATTATCAGTACTATAGATAATGGACTGTGAAGGTAGATAAACCACGAGTTAGGTTCCGGATGTGTAGCACAGTAGACATCATATGACAATTCTAGTTATGTCCCTAAACTTTCAATTAAAGACTCAGAGGAATCGGAGCCCGGGGTGGTAGGTGCGCACTTGTAATAGCACTCAGAAGCTGAAGCAGGAGGATTGCTTCAGAGGCCAGCCTGGGCTACATAGCATAATACCTGGTCAACAAGAGCCACATAGCAAGACCCAGTCTCAAAAGACTGAAGAAAGGAAAAGAAGAAAGATTGGGGGATTAACAATTGGAGTAAAGCCTCATATGACCAAATGGGAGTTTCATATTGTCTCCTAAGGTAACAGACATTTTTAAATATAAAGTGGTGTTGGTTGCTCCGTTTCACAAAGCTGATGTCTGTGTCTCTTAACAAGTAAGTTATTAATGATGAAGCAAAGCAAGTGTGTTCCTAGAGGCCAGTGAGCTTGCCCGCAGTCACACGCCTACTGAATTCATGTTTTGTTTTGTGCAAGGCGTTGACTTGAGGGAAACTTGGACAGTTAAACTGTGGAGTTTGTTCTCTAGACCTATGTAGGAAGGAAGCTCACACAAGTGATAAACTTAGGAGACGCGAGTGTTTAAGGAAGGTTTCATGGCGGAACGGAAGGTTTTTGGAGTCGAACCACAGAGAGTGGAAAGGCTCCCTGGACAAGTGAGCCAATGAAAAGCCAGGATGCAAAAGGTGGCCGAGGACTCCATGCTCCTGTTTGGTTCCAGGGCGTTCTTAGCAGAAAGAGAAAGGGAGACTAGGTTGTAGAGAAGACAGGTTGGGGGGGGGTTAGTTCAGTTGGTAGAGTCCTTGTGTACCATGCAGAGGGGCCCTAGATTTGGTCCTAGCACCATGTAAAACCGGGCACGGTGACACGCTTTGCCTATAAGCCTAACATTCTGGAGGTGGAAACAAGAGGAACAGAAGTTCAAGGTCACTACACAGTGAGCTTGAGGCTAGCCTAGGCTACTAGTGACCCCATCTTATAAATGATCCAAAGGCAGGTTAGAAAAGCACCTTTGTCCTATGAGGAGCAAAGGCTGGACCTGGACCTGGCAGGAAAGACAGTTAAGGCACTTAGAGGGGATGTCACTGTCATAGCTGCCTCGCTAGGCTGCCCTGGAGCTGGAGTCCATGTTGCATCTTGCCTTCATTTACTAGCTTCCTGCAGTTAGAGACAGGGCCCAGGTCTGCCACCACACTGCTCTGACATTGATTTCTTTCACCTCTTACAGTCATCACACAGGTTGGGGCCTGATGTGTCTGGGAATTGGCCCAGAATCCCCTGGACATGTGTCTCCCCTCGCCCCCAGCCCCTTCAGTTAGTCCTCACCCGGCATTACAGATAGGCATGCCTCTTCTCTGGCTTTCAGGGCTCCCTACTGTTTGGTTAGGCCCAGGGCAGCTTGGCATCGGCAGGATATTGCCATACCCTTTGATATATAACCCTTTCTAGGTCCCTTCATCCATGTGGCTTTGTGTCTTGTTGCTTGAGCTCCATGTATTTGCGTATGTTGGCTTTTTATGTCTTAAATGAGCCCTTCATTCTCAGTCATCTACCCTGGCCCATGTTTTATGGCCATTCCATACGGAACTTCCTCTGTAAAGCCTCTCTGTACTTTTCCCTCCACCTAGATGAGATGTCTCTCTTTAATTCTGGGGCTCTGCCTTTTGTATTTGTTTGATATTGGTTTTCTTGTGTGTGGTGTGTGGTTGTATTCTGTTTGTTTGGTGTTTTTT